CCCTTCCTTGATGGAAGTGGTCCAAGGTAATCAACCCACCACCAGGTAGGTGGCTGATCATCCTGAGAATGGTGCTGTATCCTGGGCTCAGTGTTGGCCTCTGCTGCTGGAAGATTAGGCACTCGGCAGTGGTGCCGCCAGGTCGCTAAGCCCATCCTCCCACCACGATCACTTTATTCATTAGCCCATTTGGTGATAACAGGCATGGCTAGGAAATAGGCTGACTAGTATCCACAAAATGGGTCATCGTTTCCACCTGATTATTAAAATTGTCCTCTGTTGAGATCACCCTTAGTGAACATTCACGTGGGACACAAACGTCTCCATGTTTCTTGCCCATTCAGAGAGGTCTAGCCACATACTTCCTCCCCAAATAATTTTGTCCTCAGTTTTCCACTTATGTTCCTTCCAAGTCCCTGATCATCCAGCCAAACCACTGGCTACAGCCCAGAATTGGTATGTAATCACATGTCTGGCTATTTCTCCTCCCAAGCAAATTGCACAACCAGGTACACTGCCTGAAGTTCTGCCCTTTTAATAGGATTTCCTTTCACCACTATCCTTCAAGCATGTCCAAGAGAGGGGCTGTAGTGCTACTGCTCTCCACTTCCAAGTGGTGCCTGCACACCAGGCAGAATCATCTGTAAACTAGGCCCAAGACTTGTCTTCCTCTGTCAACTGATTATAGGGAACTCCTTATGAGTCCATAAATGCAAGCTGAGAGAAGGCACTGTAGTGGTAGTTGGGACTATAGGCATTTATTCCACTTCTTCTTGTAACTTACCTGTGCCTCAGGGCCTGCTTGGGCCTGATCACAGTTACCATTTCCATTTGATGATGGAATGCTTCTGTGCAGCCCAATTTTTATGACCTGGTGGTCAGAAAACAGTTTATGATCAACAGCTGAGGCTGCAGTATAATTTGGTGGCTTATGGTCAAGTGTTCAGTCTCTGCTAAGGCTCTACCAGTAGCTGACCAAAAGTTGTTTTTGAAAAGGAAAATAGTTCTCTTTAGATTATGTCAGGGCCTTTCTCTATAATCCTAATGGCCTGCACCGTGATACACATATGGGGCCTGCCAAAGGCTCCAAACAGCACCCCTATCTGCCACTTCCCACTTCAAGTACCATTGGATCTGCTGGCTTATGTGGCCCAAGTGGAAGAGCAGCTTGCACTGCAGCCTGGACCTGTTGCAGAGCCTTCTCCTGCTCTAGGCCCCATACAAAACTAGCAGCTTTATGGGTCACTTGGCAAATGAGTTGAAGAAACACACTCAAATGCAGAATATGCTGTCTCCAACATTCAAAGAAGCCCATTAGGCATTGTACCTCTTTCTTGGCTATAGGACTGTCCAGAATCAAAAATTTACCTTTCACCTTAGAAAAGAGTATCTCAACAAGCCCCACACCACTGATCTCCTAGAAATTTCACTAGAAATCGAGATAGATGGCCCTAAAATTTTAGTCAGATTTATTTCCCACCTTCTGACAGCAAATGTCTTAATGATAAGTCTAGAGTAGTTGCTACTTCTCACTCACTAGGTCCAATCAGCATCATGTTATCAATGTAATGGACCAGTATGATATCTTGTGAAAGGGAAAGGTGATCAAGATCTATATTATGACATGGCTAGAGAGTTGATAGACCCCGGTAGGTAGGACAGTGAAGGTGTATTGCTGACTTTGCCTGCTGACAAAAATTGCTGCATACCAGGGACCAGAGGACGTGTTAATTTGCTCAAGCAATGAAACCACAACTGGTATGGCAGATGCAATTTGAGTCAGCCCCTGGTTAAGCTTAATGTAATCCATGCTTATTCTGCAAAATCCATCTGTCTTCTCTGCAGGCTGAATAGGAGAGTTGAATGAGTATGTGGTGAGAACCACCACCTGTACATCTTTCAAGTCCTTGATGGTGACAGTAACCTCTGAACCTCTTTCTCTAAATTAAATCAGAGGAGGTTGGACATTTACAATTTGCTCATCATGGCTATTTTTGGTCTATGTTTTGGCCAACCAACCGAACTGTTAGAGCACTCTTAACTCCTAAGCTGCAGCATTAAATGCAGAATCTCTTCTTAGTGAGCCCATGTCAGTACATTTGGCTTGATGCAAGTTTATGTTCCTTCCACAGAAGCTTCCCACAGAGCTTCTCTCGATGTCTGCTTACATAAATCAGAGAGCTCAGTTAGTTCTGTTGGAGTGTAGTTCACCTCACCTGCAGGAATCTGCTTAGACCGAGGCTAGTTATAGGTCTAGAAGCAAAGATGGATGGTGGGGGTCAGTCCTGAGGAGAATCAGCAGTGTCTTGAGTCCAAGACCATTTCCTCAGGGTTAATTCCCTCAAATTGAGGTGGAAAGGCTGAAACCACTGTGGGTGGAGACAGCACTGTGGGTGAGAAGGTCAATTCCACTGGGATTGGGGAGAATACTTTTGCTGAGGCTGGGAGGCCTCTTCCACAATGAGGACTCATCAGGATTTAGGGGCTCAATGTCCCTGGCTTCAACAGCATATTCCAACACATCTCCATCCCACCTTATAGGGTCTCATTCTTTCCCAATGAATGCCCTCACTTTGACAACAGACACCCTGTGAGGCCAGGAGGTCAAGTTGCATTATAAATCAGCCAGGATGAGGTTCTCCATTTAATTTTCAGCAATTTCAGCCCTGGGGCTATAGGAGATAAGTCCTTTCTTCAGGGCACACCTGGAAGCCTTTAGGTCATTTACACAACACTTGACCTGGGAATTCAGGTCTCCGAACTTATCTTTTTCTTTCCCTATGTTGTCCAGCAACATTAGGAGAAATCAACCAATGTTATTATATTCCTTAGTTTTCCAAAAATCTTCAAAAATATCATATAGAGTCACGCGGTTCCTTTCTTCCTATAAGTGGTTGATTAGAAGGATCCAAAGCAGATATTTTGCATATCTCCGTAAACAGCAACTTTTTCCTTTCAGTCTTTATTGAATTTCTTACAATATTGCTTCTGTTTTGGATTTTTGGCCACGAGGCATGTGGGATCTTAGCTCCCTGACCAGGGATCGAATGCACACCCCTTCATTGGAAGGCAAAGTCTTAACCACTGGACCACCAGGGAAGTTCCTGAGTCAACAGCACCTTTAAACTTAATCAGATTACAAAGCCAGTTCCAGGAATCCCAAAACCAATTCAGAAAACTCATCCTTTAGGTCCCCAAATCTGTATCAGTCAGGGTTCTCCAGAGAAACAGAACAGGAGATTTTATATATATATATATATATATATATATATAGAGAGAGAGAGAGAGAGAGAGAGAGAGAGAGAGAGAGAGAGACATGAGGTTATAGGAATTGGCTCATGTGGTCATGGAGGCCAAGAAATCCCATGATCTGCCACCTGCAAACTGGAGAACCAGGAAAGCTGGTGATGAATTCCGCCCAAGTCTGAAAGTCTAGATGGGAATGGGGGTAGTGACAGTGTAAGCCCCAGTCTGAAAAGCAGGAGTGCCAATGTCTGAAAGCAGGAGAAAATAGAAGTCTCAAATCAAGCACAGAGCAAATTCACTCTTCCTCTGTCCTTTTATTCTATTCAGGAGCTCAATGGATTAGATGCTGCCCACCAGCATCTTTGAGAGTGGTCTTTACTCAGTCTTCTGACTCAGATGCTAACCTCTTCCAGAGACTCCCTCACAGAAATGTTCAGAAATAATGTTTTCATCAGCTATCTGGGCATCCCTTAGCCCAGTTAAGGTGACACATAAAATTAAAAGTCACAAAAATTATAATATTTTATAAATCTTAGTATAACTTCAGTACACATAAAGCAAATTATTATCAGAAAAAAATTAGAAAAATCAACAAATATAGTGAGGGATTTGAAAAATACGATGAAAACACATGACCTACCTCATATAGAGAACAGTATACCCAACCTCTGCAAAATACACATTTTAAATATGTATAAAAGATTTAATGATATATACCACATGCTTAGGTATAAAATAACTCTTAACCAATTTCTCATGACTGAAATATTTCAGATTATGTTCTCTAACGAAAGTTAATTTAAGACAAATATATTATAAATATATAAAAATCCCCAAATATTTGATTATTTGATTTCTAATTAATCCATGGAGCAAAGAGGAAAATTCAATGAAAATTAAAATATTTTCATACTATACTAATGAAAATTAAAATATTCTTTGGTACATACTATAAAAATACTAAAGAAAAATCCATGACATAGGTAGGTCTTGCTTAGCGGGAATCTAAGCCATCTGAAAACTGTTTACACAAATAATCAATAATGAATCTATAATAAGGAATAGAGGGGGAAAGGGGTGGGGTGGGAGGAATTGGGAGACTGGGACTGACACACATACATTGATACTATGTATAAAATAGACAACTGATGGGAACATACTGTATAGCACAGGGAATTCTACCTAATGCACTGTGGTAATCTAAATAGGAGGGAAGTCCAAAAGGGAGGGGATATCTGTATGTGTATGGCTGATTCATTTTGTTGTGCAGTGGAGGCTAACACAACATTGTAAAGCAACCGTACTCCACTAAAAATTAATAAATTTTAAAAAAGGAATCTGAATACACTAAAGCGGGTATACAGCTTTCAAAGAGGAGAAGCAGTAACAAGAGAAACACTGGATTCAACTCCTAGCTGAGTAAATGCCACTGGGACAAGTCACAGGCTAGCTGAAGTTTAGAAGCTCTGCAAGGAAGGAGGAAGGTTAAGACTTCTGGGGGTGGGGAGGAGATTCAGGTCAACCTAAAGAGCAGAAAGGAAAAGGGATGCTCTCTGTCCTGGGGTCACGAGGCACAACTGGCAGGCCCTCAGGGCTTTATGGGGTGAGGGTCTTTGGCTGCTTTTACCTGATTCAGAGCCTTCTCTGGATTCAAGTTAGATAGGTTGGAAGTTGGAACTGAAAATACAGAGAAAACACCAGACATAATTCAGGTGATTCAGGGCAGATGATTTATTATTTCATAATTTAAACCCTCAGCAGTGACAACAGAGGCGAGGGAGAAATATGTTTTTTCCTTCTTGGTTTAGGCCAGTTTCTGGTGATTTATTTGGTACCATCCTCTCTTCAGGCCAAGATTGTTAGAGACTGTTACTGTGAGGGAAAACAAGACAAAGCACACCACAAAATACCAGTTATTTATTATTTTTTTTGGAGCCCACATATTTCTAACACAAGAATTTATTTAAAAGGCATGGAAAACTGAAGAGAAAGGATGAAGAAAATAAAAATTGATTCCAGAAAAAAACAATCATCTGTTACCTTCAACTGCAAATATTCTTAGTCTTCTACTAGAGTGGCTTCCTAAAATATCCTAAGTGTTTATCTATTTTTGGTAACTAGGTCAACAAAGCAAAGTGCCTTTAAATTTCCATTCTAAGTATATAAACTGATTTTAGTTTAGAATAAAAAAGAAAAATTGTGATGTTTCTAAGTACAATCACATTTTATAAAAGATAAAACACCAACATATACACACACGCGTCTGTACATCTATATATATTGAAATATTTTAAAATGATCATCCTAGGTGCTAAGATTAATGATGATAATTTTTTTATTCTTCTGAATATTTTTAAATGAACGTTTATTACTTGTACTGCTATAATAAGAAACAGAATGATTCACCTACTCACAAGCACATGCAATTTATTGAATAAATCAAGAGAGGAGAGTCAAGGCAAGATTTGGGTATCCCAAGCTCTCAGGACTAAAAAGAATCTTATTGTCATTAAAATCTAAAATAATCCATCAGAATTACGAATGACGAAAACAGTTAAGCATAAAATAGTCAAATGTTTGTTGTAAACCTCAGCACAAAACTGAAAATGATAAAATGTTTTTGGAACCAAGAAAATAATGTTTAAAAAACAGGAATTTATTAACATTAGGCTAGGTCTAAACTCCCAACTTACATAACAAAAAAAATCAGTGGAGAGAGAGAGATGGGAAAAGGTAAACGTACACTAAGCATCCCTCATACTAAAGGAAGTCTCAAAAATGCCTCTAATCCCTTACTTTTATGTTACATATTTTTCTCTCTATTACATACTCATTTAAGAAACAGCTCATTACTAAGTGACACAGTGGAAAATAAAGGAAATTCAATACAATAGTGAAAAAGTAAAATTTAAGATATAACTAGAAAGCACATCACTCAAATGTACAAATGACTAAAAATAACTTATGAAGGTTACAACCTGACACAAATGGATTGGTGGTCATCATTACAATCAGGTAATTTGGCAGTAGAAATCAAAAAGCAAGAGTGTAAATATTATATTTATGCTTTGATCAATCTCCCTTCTAGGGATTTATCCTGAGGCTATAATTTATATAGCCTTTATAGTTTATTATTTAGACTATTATAATTTATATAATAATATAAGGATGCTTATTACAGGGTGTTCATAATATAGAAAAACTGGAAGTAGTTTACATATTCATAATAATGGATTTTTTAAATGTTATTTTTCTTTCTTTTTTTTTTTTTTTTTTTTGGTACGCGGGCCTCTCACTGTTTTGGCCTCTCCCATTGCGGAGCACAGGCTCTGGACGCGCAGGCTCAGTGGCCATGGCTCACCCAGCCGCTCCGTGGCATGTGGGATCTTCCCAGACCAGGGCACAAACCCGTGTCCCCTGCATCGGCAGGCGGACTCCCAACCACTGCGCCACCAGGGAAGCCCTATGTTTATTCTTTAGAAAAATTTTTTAAGAATATATACATCTATATTGTTAATGGAACTTTTCTTTGGGTATTGTGATTATGAGAAATTTATCTTTAATTCATATACCTACCAAGGTATTTTAGATATTTTAATAAATACTTGATAATCATTAAAAATCAGAAAGATGCTTTTTGAAAATAAAAAGATCTATATTTTAACTAATTGTTAGCTCTAAAGTTTACCTGGTTATCCCTACTTTCCTGTCATATGAATTTCAGAATCTTTTTCTCAATTTTTCCTACCCTTTTATATAAAAAATATTTAGTGAATTTGTGTTAAATATACAGAAGCTTACCTATATACAGATTATTGATATTTGAAAAGAAAAGAATAAGATTTAAAGTTAAAAGTATAAAAAAAGAAGTAAAGACAAGCAGATTCAAATTAAATGGAAAAGGAAAAAAATATTTTAGGTAATTAGACTCAAAATTTATGGAAAATCTCCTTTGCAAAATTCTAGGAAATAAAAGTTTAGTTATAATATAAAGTAAATATAAAATGTAAGCATGATAGTTTTAAAAATGAAAATTGTAAACAACTGAAATCTGATAACTTTAGAAGATGCTACACTGCTGAACTGTAATAAAAGTATTAAAGTGATAAAATATATGCTCCTGCCTGCAGTGTGAGAGTCCTTGTTGCTTGATATTCTAACCAACACTTGAGGTTGCCTGTTCTTTTAATTTTAGCCACTCTTATAGGTGTGTAGGGGACACTCGTTTTTAATTTGTCTATTTCTGATGATTAATGATGTTGAGCAATTTTTCATGTTTTGAGCTCCTTTGATATCACCTTTTGTGAAGCGTCTTTTCAAATATTTTGCCTATTAGGCTTTCCCGCATTTTGTTACTGGTTTACAGGGATTCTGTATATATTCTGAGTATGAGTTCTTTATTGGAAATATGTATCACAGACATCGTCTCCCACATTGTGGCTTCCCTTTTCCCTTTCATAAGGGTGTCTTTTGTGAAGCAAAACTTCCTCAAGGTTTAAAAATTTTATTCTACTGTGCTTAAGAACACTTAAATGAGATCTACTCTCTTAACAAAAATTTAAGCATACATTTTTAACAATAGGGACAACGTTGTACAGCAGATCTCTAGATTTTGCACAATTGAGACTTCATTCTCATTGATTAGCAACATCCCACTTTCCTGTCATCCCAGCCTGAAGCAACAACCATTCTACTCTCAGTTCTACGAGCTTCACTATTTGAGATATCTTAAGTGGAATCATGCAGTTATTTGTCCTTCTGTGACTGGCTTATTTCACTCAGCATAATGTCCTCAAGGTTCATCTATGTTGTCATAGATGCAGGATTTCCTTCTTTTTAATGGCTGAACAACATTCCATTATATGTATATACCACATTTTCTTTATCCATTCATCCAATGATGGACATTTAGCTTGTATTCACATCTTGGCTATTGTAAGTGGTGCTGCAATGAACACGAAAATGCTAATACTGCTTTGAGATCCTGATTTCAATTCTTCCGGAAAAATATCCAGAAGTAGGACTGCTGGTCATACAGTAGTTCTATTTTTAATTTTTTGAGGAATCTCCAACAGTTTTGCACAGTGGCCACAATATCTTGCATTCCCACCAACATTGTACAATGATTCCAATTTCTCCACATCCTTGCCAACACTTGTTGACTTTTGTGGGTTTTTTTTTTTTTATAATAGCCATTCTAACAGGTGATACCTCATATGGTTTTGATTTGAATTTCCCTGATGATTAGTGATCTGAGCTATCTTTTCCTATATCTGTTGGCCCTAAGTATGGTATTTTGGGAGAAGCATCTATTCAAGTCTTTAGCCCATTTTAAAATCAGGTTTTATTTTCTTTTTTGTATCAATGGTAGGAGTACCTTATGTGTTTTGGTTATTAACCCTTTTTCTGATACATGGTTTAAAAATATTTTATCCCATTCCATAGGTTGCTCTTTCACTCTATTAAATGTTTCCCTTGCTGTGCGGAAGCCTTTTTAGTGTGATGGAGCCCCACTTGTCTATTTTTTGCTTTTGTTGCCTGTACTTTTGATATCAACCCAAAAATTGATTGTGAAGACCAATGATATGAGGTTTCCCCCCTATGTTTTCTTCTAGGAGTTTTACACTTTGGGGTCACTTTTAATCCACTTTGAGTTGATTTTTGTGTATGATGTAAGGGTTCAATTTCATTCTTTTGCATGTGGCTATCCAGTTTTCCCACCACCATGTCCCACTGCATATTCTTGGTACCCTTTCAAAGGTCATTTGACCATCTATACGGGGATTGAATCCTGGGCTCTCTATTCTGTTCCATTGGTCTTTATCTGTCTTTTTAACAGTACCATACTGTTTTGATTACAGTAGATTTGCAATATATTTTAAAATCGGGATGTATGATGCATCCAGCTTTGTTCTTTCTCAAAATGTTTTGGCTATTGAGGGTCCTTTGTGGTTCCACACAAATTTTAGAATTTTTGTTAATATTTCTGTGAAAAATGCCATTGGAATTTTGACAGGGGTTTCATTGAATTTGTAGATACCTTTGAGTGGTATGGATATTTTAACAATATTAATTGCTTCAGCCCATGAACACAGGATGTCTTTCCATTTCTTTCACTGCTTTCTTGTAGTTATCAGTACACAAGTCTTTCACATTCTTAGTTAAGTTTATTTGTAAGTATTTTATTTTTTGATCCAATTATCTATGGGATTGTTTTCTGAACTTCATTTTAAGATAGCTTATTTTTAGTATATAGAAATGTAATTGATTATTGTACATTGATCTTGGAGCCAGCCCCTTTACTAATCTTGTTTATTAGTTCTAATAATTTTTTTGTGGAATCTTTAGGGTTTTTTATGTGTAAGAACATGACATCTGAAAACAAAAACAACTTCACTTCTTCCTTTCTGATGTAGATGTCTTTTGTCACCTAATTGCTCTGGCTAATACTTCCAGTACTAGGTTGAATATATATGGTGCCAGTGGGCATTCTTACCTTGTCCCTGATGTTAGAGGAAATGCTTCAACGTTTTCAGTTTGACTATGATATTAGCTGTTAGCTTCTCATATATGGCCTTTATCATGCTGTAAATTCCTTCTATTTTTAATTTGTGGAAAGAATATATCATAAAAACATTTTGAATTTTGTCAAACGTTTTTTCTGTATCTATTGAGACGATCTTGTCATTTTCATTCTTCATTTTGTTAATGTGGTGAGTGTATCACATTGATTGATTTTCGTATGTTGAACCATCCTTGCACTCCCATGATATCACTTTCTCATGGTGCATGATCCTTTTCATGTGCTGTTGAATTTGCTTTGCTAGTAGTTTGTTGAGAATTTTTGCATCTATATTCATCACAGATATTAGCTTGTAGTTTCCTTTTTCTGTAGTGTCCTTATCAATTTTGGTATCAGAGTAATGCTGGCCTCATAAAATGAGTTTGTAAGTGTTACCTCCTTTTCTACTTTTTGGAAGAATTTTAGAAATATTGGCTTTAATCCATCTTTAAATGTTTGGCAGAATTCACCAGTAAAGCCAATATGTCCTGGGCTTTTCTTTGTTGGGAGGGTTTTAGTTACTGGTTCAATTCTCCTTAACTAGTTTTTAATCTGCTCACTTTCTATTTCTTCATGATTTAATCTTGGCAGGTTGTATGTTTCCAGGAATGTATTCATTTCTTTTTGGTTCTTCAGTTTCTTAGCATACAAATATTCACAGTAATCTTTCATGAACTATAAACTATAAAAAGATTATTTGTATAGTATCATTTGTAATGTCTCCCCTCTTATTTCTGGTTTTATTTATATTAGTCTTCTCTCTTTTTGTGTCAGAGAGTCCAGCTAAAGGTTTCTTTCTTTCTTTTTTCAAAAAACATGCTTACTTTTGTTGATGTTTAAAATTGCTTTTTTCTTCTTCATTTTGTTCATATCTCCTCTGACCTTTACTATTTCCTTCCTTTCACTTACTTTGGGCTTAGTTTGTTATTTTCTTCATTCCTTGATGTGTAAAGTTCGGTTGTTATTTGGGATCTTAAGACAGTAAAATGAATGAAAACTCCAAGGCTCTATCTTATTAGCAATAATTTTTTTCTGAGATAATATTATAACTATAAGCACATCTGACATTTTTATAATATCAGTCCTCTTATTATGTGGCAGTAAAATGTCATCAACATATAAGTGCTGCTTACCAAACCTCAAAAAAAAAAAGAATCCTAAAACTTATGTGGTCATAAATGCTGGTGTGGGTGCACAAAAACCACTCCTTTGGTGTAGGTCAGGGAGGAGAGGTTGAGACATAATGAAATCAAGTTTTATTGTTTAGCATTATAAAATCACCTACAATGGGAACCACAAAGAATATTATCAACAAATGTTTTGGTTTCAAGCTAACAATTTTTAAGTGCTCCTTCAATAATGATCAAAAGGTATGATGCCAAATGGTTAATCAATCACTCGTTCTACACTCACCTTACACTGAGTGACAACTTGCTGTTACTGCTGCTTTCTTCCGACACAGATCTATAACATCGATAAAGTTTATTTTAAATAAGTGGGGGAATTTAAAAACGTTGAACAATTAAGTGACTATTTGAACGAAAAATGTTCTTCAAAGAAACAAAGTGATTCACTACATATAATGTCTCCTTCCAGCAAAATAAAACAAAACAAATAAAACTGGTACCATCTCAATATTAGAACAAATGCCATCAGCCACCTTGCTTTGTTGACAAAATCCTCACATCCTCATTTTACATTTACTCAATTTTACAGATAGGCCCCCTAATTCTATGATATCACTAACTCCTCAAGCCAAATTAAACCAAAACCATAAAGTAGCAGTCAAAAATTTCAGTTAATTTTTCCATATATTTCTACAGATTTCTTTCATCCTCTCGTAACATACTCAGATCTTCTCTTCATATCACTTCTTGGAAGGTAAAACTAGAGGTAAATACCTCTCTGGAAGAATACAGTAAATTATGACTAAGGGGATCAATAATGATGTTTAAATAGTTGTGTAACTGATTACAGATAATGTGATTTCATTTATTAATTTGGTGTACCCAAAAGTTTATGATACATTGGAAAGCTATTATCTCACATTTTGTAGAGTTATAGAGAATAATTTTAAGAACATAAAGATTAAATCCCTTGCTCAAGATATCATAGTTAGCAAGATATGCAAGATTTAGGAGTTGAAACCAGGTTTTCTGAGGCTAAATATAATTTTCTCCCCACTCCATGATGCTTCCTCCTGTCTCCTAACCTGATTAGTATGAATTACACATGTAATTTCTAGTTGAGAAATGACTGGACAAATCAGCAATAATTAGGAAAATAAATATTATGCAGGCAGGTTCATAGGTATTATATCTAGTTGAGTGGGGTGTTCTGATAAAGTTATCTACCACTGGTCTGAGGATCTATATCTTAAAATTTTATTTATTTATTTACTTTTTAAATGCAGTGTTATTTATTCTCATGAAGCTCATGGACAATTTGACTACTTAGACAGAATCAGTGGATTAAGAGGACGAATAAACCTCCACAATACCCTTGGCACCCGTATCTCTTCCTCAAGCGATACTGGTGGTAAAATGAATGGTTTTAGTAATGAGTAAAACCAGAGAAAACATGAAAACACCAAGCTACTTTGAAATGTATCCCTGGGCCATCCTCGTATGTTTTACCTACAGTTTTAGCTTATTCCTGATGAAACTTGACTACTTTTTTCTTGACTTATTTAATTTAATAAGAATTAAAATATATATACCTCTCACTTTCAGGTTCTCCTCTGTAGCATAGCTCCCTTATTTTACTCTGGCTTATTATAACAGCAATAATAATGATGAACACAGGTAGAGAAATGTAGAAAATCAATTGAAATCTGTGTTTTGGATGACTGAGAGATCTCTCCAGCAAAACCTTTTTACCTAGAATGGAAAGCATCCATTTCAAATTATGTCAGAGATTTTATTAACCAAATCAAAAGGTGGAGGGGTATCATTACCAACAATATTCCCCAAAACTAAAAATTTCATTCACATAGACTGTGAATATAATAAAATCTGAAAACCTAAACTAATATATAAAATGGGCTGTTACTAGCGCTTTACTGATGTTTTTGAGTTTTCAAACTTCCACCCAATGGTGATTTCCTTGATTGAAGGTAGTAATGTTCTTTCATGGACCACATATTTAATACTTGCAAATATTTCTTCAATTCTGTTCTGATACAGGGTTTCCGAGGCTCAAACATGTATATCACAAAGAGTATTGGATTGTACCTGTATGTGAGAATTAAATGTGGGGTATCTGGCATTTAATTTCTCTTAACATTACTACAATTTTTTTCCTAAAAATTAAAAATCAGTAGTCTCTAAACTTAAGCTCATTAATCAAATATGCAGCAATAGGAAATTGTTAAAATGGCTCTAGGATTATTTTATAGAATGCATGGCTAAGCTTGGCTTTGACCCACTTCTGACTGACTAGTGCTAATATCTACATTTTCCTCATCTGTTCTTGCAGATTCTCAGCTGACATCTGCATTCACCTTTCCGGATTCATAATGTATCGAGTTCTGCTTTCTCCACAATTTGTTGGTATGCTTCCTTTTATTTGATATGAACTATGACTCTATCACTTCTTTGCCACACTGGAGGAGCTGACTGTCAGAAGAGCAACTCCCCAGCTACAGTGTGGATGACCGCTGAGGCTCAAAATACTCCTCTTACTACTGTCCCAGCACTTCTCCCTTTTCCCCCATGTTTTTGTTTTAAGCGAGTTCAAGGTAGGAGCAACATTTTCTTTTTCAGTCAGCTTTGTGCATGCGCTTGGGGTTCCCAGTATCTTCGAGACAAAGATTACATGGTATTTGTAATTAGAAAACAAGTGAATCAGATGAAGAGATCATCCTCTCTGGCTGCAGATTGATTCTCAGCTATGTGTATAGTCTTCCGGGTAATCAGTGATACCACATGGGTTATTTGAAAATGAATGTAATATATGCCCAGGTGGCCTTGGAAGTCTAAGTAGGAAAAATTGGTATCACTTCTTTCACTTATACTGTCTAGTTTTAACAAGCACTACTTATTTATACCAGCCAACAAAGAAAATTTTCTACTAACTCTCCTCTCAGTTTGGTGACCTTCATTAAGTTAACTACTCGGAATCTCCATTTCCCATTGGTTAAACTAGTCCCCAATAATCTGCCTCAAGGCTTCTTCCTCCTTCTAAAGATGCCTCAGGGAATCATCCAGCCATTTAACTATTGTTCATGGTTTTTCACCTCCTTCCTTTTATGACCCCAAAGTGTCTTAGCCTTTATGACTCAAGCATTTAACTGTCATATCAAACTCCCCAAAACATAGATCTTACCCATACCAAACTTTATGGGTAAATATCAGGTATAGAAATAAAAGATTTTTCCCTGGAGGAGCCAGCATGCATCAGGGGCAGCTCCCAAAGCTTCCCTATCCTCCACCCTGTGCCACATTCAGATTGATTACAGAAAACAGAGATGGAGAGCTTTGTGTAAAGTAGACACAAAATTGATCATAAATAGTCATTTCACTTTTGCACTGTTACACAGTTTACATGATTACCAAGTTTTTCCAGCCAGCTATTCCACCATAAATCAGTAACTCCAGGTTTACTTAGAATAATTATGTATATGGATGAGTATATCCTGCCAAAAACATTTTATAGAGAGGGACTCCTGTTATCTTTCTCTAGCAAACACTGTTCATACATGTAACAGTTAATTTTATGCATCCGTTTGACTGGGCCACAATGACCTCAGATATTTGGTCAAATATTATTCTGGGTGTTTCTATGGGGTGTTTTCAAATGAGATTAACATTCATATCAGTAGACTGAGTAAAGCAGTAGCTTTCTTTAATGTGGGTGGGCCTCATCCTGGAGGCCTTAATAAAACAAAAACACTGACCCTCCAGTGGATATGGGAAGATTCTTCCTGCCTGAGGTACCCAAACTGAGACATCAGCTTTTCCTGACCTTCAGGCCTGCTGCCCTTCACACAAAAATTGCACCATTGGCTCTCCTGGGGCTGCAGTTTACTGACTCACTCTGCACATCTTGGGATTTGTCAGCCTCCGTAATCACATGAGCCAATCAGTTCCTTCTAAAACATCTCTCTCTCTCTCTCTCTCTCTCCATACTATTGATCCTGTTTCTCTGGAGAATTTTGATTTTGGTACCAAGAAGTAGGGTGTTGTTATAATAAATACCTAAATATGTGGAAATGGCTTTGGGACTCGTAACGGGTAGTGGCTAGAGGAATTTTGAGGCACATTTTAGAAAACTCCTAGATTAATCTGAAGAGACTGTTGGTAGAAATATGGACGGTGAAAGCAACTCTGGTGAGGGCTCAGGGAGAAAAGAGGAGAGCAGAAGAGAAAGCCTACATCTTCTTAGAGAGTACAAAGATAATCATGAACAGAATGGTGGTAGAAATATTTACATGAAAGTTGTTTCTGGTGAGATTTTAGACAGAAAAGGAAAATGATTAAGAAAAGGCAACTCCTGCTGTAAAGTGGCAAAAAACTTGGCTAAATTGTAACCTCGTGTTTTATGGAAGATAGAACATGCGAGCCATGAAACTGGATAATTAACTAAGAAGATTTCTAAGTGAAATGTTGAAGATGTAGTCTGGGTACTCCTGACTGCTTATAGTAATATGTGAGAGAAGGAGATAAATTGAAGAAGTAAGCGTTACACAGGGAGGTACCAGAACTTAAAGATTTGGAGAATTCTCAGTCTATCCGTATTGCAAAAAATGGGAAAACATGTTTTAGAGAGAACATACCAAAAGTGTGGATGGAAAAATCATCTGATAAAGAGTCTGTGCATGTGAACCACCTCAGGAAAAGTCAGGAATAAGGATGAGATTACACCAGCAGAAACACTGCCAGGTTGGACCAAAGGGAACAGCACGGGGCAATAGAGCTATGTGGCTGCCAATATACTTTATCCTTCAAGAAAAGAGAAGGACGCGAAGGTGATTCAGAGATCAAGGCTTCCTCCCCCCATCACAGGTCCAGGAGCTGTCCCCTCCTCGGTTTTGACCAGCCAAGCTCCCCCACCCAGTGGTTGAGAGGGGCAGGGCCACTCCAAAGAGCAGTATGGATGGGGCCTCTATCTAGAGCTGAAGGAGTGGGGTAGACTCTACTGCAGGCTCTGGGGCTACTGCAGGCTGCTACCCCAATGGGCCTGGAGGGCAGAACATCAAACCTAAGAGGATTATCTTCCAACCTTAAAATCAAATTGAATTTGCCTTGCTAGGTTTTATTTGTATTTACTGGGATCTGTCACCCCTTTCTTCTTTCCAATTTCTCCCTTTAGGAACAAGAATGTCTATCCTATGCCTTTCTCACCTTTGTTTTCTGGAAGCACGTAACTTTCACACGTTCAAAAATGGCGAAGAATTTTGCCTCAAGATGAATCATACCTAAAGTCTCACCCATTCCTGATGTAGATGATATTTAGAAGAGACGTTGTATTTGGAATTTATACTGAAACGGGTTAAGACTTTTGGAGCTACTGAGATGGGGTGGACATATTCTGCATAAAAGGAGGACATGAATTTGGGGAGCCATACGATGGAATGTTATGGACTGAATAGTGTTCCCCCAAATTCATATGCTGATTTGAATCCCTAAACCCCAGTGTGATGGTATTTGGAGATGAGGCCTTTGGGAGGTAATTAGGGTTGAGATCATAAGGGTGGGGTCCTAATCTGATGGAACTGATGTTCTTATAAGAGGAGGAGGAGACACCAGAGAGCTTTCTCTCTCCACACACACAGAGGACTCAGCAAGAAGGCAGCCATATGCAAGCCAGGAGGAGAGCTCTCACCAGAAACCGAATTTGCCAGCACCTCGATCATGGGTTCCCAGCCTCCACAGCTGTGAGAGAATAAATTTCTATTGTTTAAGATACCCAGTCTGTGGCATTTTGTTATGGCAACCAAGCAGACTAATAGTGTATTTTCATGAAAGAATGGATGAGGTCATTTATTCCCTAGGCCATCCATTGAAGGGAGAACTAGCTGTGGAACACCAAGCAAACAAGTGATTACCAGTGGAGAGTGGGAAGGGGGGAGGGGAAAGGGATTAAAAGGTATAAACTTCTATGTAGAAAATAAGCTACAAGGTTATATTTGTGCAGCACAGGGAATAGAGCCAATATCCTAATAACATTAAATGGACTATAATCTATAAAAACTTTGAATCACTATGCTGTAAACGTGAAACTAATACATTGTAAATTGACTGTACTTCAAAAAAACACTTTCCTTCCTAGCGATATTCATTACCTAATAGTCTAGAGAACTTCAGGCTAGAAGACAAGATGGTTTAGTATTAGAAAATCTTCAAAGGCAATATAAGACAATATAATCAGTTCAATAGATGCCTTACACATATCTAATAAAGCCCAAAATACATTCCTGATTTTAAATAAAATTGGGAGAGATAAATATTTTCTCAGCAAGATAAATATTGAATCAAAAGGAGCAGCCTTTTCATGAGACAATATTAGAGGTATTCCTAAGAAGTAATGATAGCCTCTTTCATGATGATTTCCTGTTATTCTGAATGGATTACCCAATACAATTATGAAATGAGAGAGAGAGAAGGTGAAATTAACTGAAGAAGAGGAAAGAAAGGAAAATTATTATTAAAAAGGTGTGGCAAAATTATTAACTTCAGTTCATATCATTTAAAAAATATCAACCCCCTAAAAAAAATCAACTAAAAGCCTTTTGAAAATGATGATAGTCCATTGATAAAATGTACACACAAAAATCAGGTTTCCTATAATTAAAAGTAGCAATTTAAAATACAACAGATCGGGCTTCCCTGGTGGCGCAGTGGTTGAGAGTCCGCCTGCTGATGCAGGGGCCACGGGT